GGGCCCCACGCGCTGACCGGTAGAGAACGTGGGCGTCCGGAACGTGCAGGTGCAGTCGCTCGGCCCCACGTAGCGGTGCAGCCGCGAGTCCTCCCTCAGGTCCCACACGAGCACCGAGCCGTGCGCCGTCCCAGCAAACAGCAAGGAGGCCTTGGACGGGCTGAAGCAGCAGCACGTCACCTATGACGGCAGAGCGAGCACACGGCTGAGGGCCGAGCACACGACACCGTGTCCCCGCAAGACCCGCAGCCCGGCAGCTCGGGCAGGGCAGAAGGCGGCCTGTCGCACAGTCAGGAGTTTAACTAGTGCGGCGGCCAGCCCTCAGTGGGGGGACAGCCCTCAGGTGGGGGGGACAGCCCTCAGGTGGGGGGGACAGCCCTCAGGTGGGGGGGACAGCCCTCAGGTGGGGGGGACAGCCCTCAGGTGGGGGGGACAGCCCTCAGGTGGGGGGGACAGCCCTCAGGTGGGGGGGACAGCCCTCAGGTGGGGGGGACAGCCCTCAGGTGGGGGGGACAGCCCTCAGGTGGGGGGGACAGCCCTCAGGTGGGGGGGACAGCCCTCAGGTGGGGGGGACAGCCCTCAGGTGGGGGGGACAGCCCTCAGGTGGGGGGGACAGCCCTCAGGTGGGGGGGACAGCCCTCAGGTGGGGGGGACAGCCCTCAGGTGGGGGGGACAGCCCTCAGGTGGGGGGGACAGCCCTCAGGTGGGGGGGACAGCCCTCAGGTGGGGGGGACAGCCCTCAGGTGGGGGGGACAGCCCTCAGGTGGGGGGGACAGCCCTCAGGTGGGGGGGACAGCCCTCAGGTGGGGGGGACAGCCCTCAGGTGGGGGGGACAGCCCTCAGGTGGGGGGGACAGCCCTCAGGTGGGGGGGACAGCCCTCAGGTGGGGGGGACAGCCCTCAGGTGGGGGGGACAGCCCTCAGGTGGGGGGGACAGCCCTCAGGTGGGGGGGACAGCCCTCAGGTGGGGGGGACAGCCCTCAGGTGGGGGGGACAGCCCTCAGGTGGGGGGGACAGCCCTCAGGTGGGGGGGACAGCCCTCAGGTGGGGGGGACAGCCCTCAGGTGGGGGGGACAGCCCTCAGGTGGGGGGGACAGCCCTCAGGTGGGGGGGACAGCCCTCAGGTGGGGGGGACAGCCCTCAGGTGGGGGGGACAGCCCTCAGGTGGGGGGGACAGCCCTCAGGTGGGGGGGACAGCCCTCAGGTGGGGGGGACAGCCCTCAGGTGGGGGGGACAGCCCTCAGGTGGGGGGGACAGCCCTCAGGTGGGGGGGACAGCCCTCAGGTGGGGGGGACAGCCCTCAGGTGGGGGGGACAGCCCTCAGGTGGGGGGGACAGCCCTCAGGTGGGGGGGACAGCCCTCAGGTGGGGGGGACAGCCCTCAGGTGGGGGGGACAGCCCTCAGGTGGGGGGGACAGCCCTCAGGTGGGGGGGACAGCCCTCAGGTGGGGGGGACAGCCCTCAGGTGGGGGGGACAGCCCTCAGGTGGGGGGGACAGCCCTCAGGTGGGGGGGACAGCCCTCAGGTGGGGGGGACAGCCCTCAGGTGGGGGGGACAGCCCTCAGGTGGGGGGGACAGCCCTCAGGTGGGGGGGACAGCCCTCAGGTGGGGGGGACAGCCCTCAGGTGGGGGGGACAGCCCTCAGGTGGGGGGGACAGCCCTCAGGTGGGGGGGACAGCCCTCAGGTGGGGGGGACAGCCCTCAGGTGGGGGGGACAGCCCTCAGGTGGGGGGGACAGCCCTCAGGTGGGGGGGACAGCCCTCAGGTGGGGGGGACAGCCCTCAGGTGGGGGGGACAGCCCTCAGGTGGGGGGGACAGCCCTCAGGTGGGGGGGACAGCCCTCAGGTGGGGGGGACAGCCCTCAGGTGGGGGGGACAGCCCTCAGGTGGGGGGGACAGCCCTCAGGTGGGGGGGACAGCCCTCAGGTGGGGGGGACAGCCCTCAGGTGGGGGGGACAGCCCTCAGGTGGGGGGGACAGCCCTCAGGTGGGGGGGACAGCCCTCAGGTGGGGGGGACAGCCCTCAGGTGGGGGGGACAGCCCTCAGGTGGGGGGGACAGCCCTCAGGTGGGGGGGACAGCCCTCAGGTGGGGGGGACAGCCCTCAGGTGGGGGGGACAGCCCTCAGGTGGGGGGGACAGCCCTCAGGTGGGGGGGACAGCCCTCAGGTGGGGGGGACAGCCCTCAGGTGGGGGGGACAGCCCTCAGGTGGGGGGGACAGCCCTCAGGTGGGGGGGACAGCCCTCAGGTGGGGGGGACAGCCCTCAGGTGGGGGGGACAGCCCTCAGGTGGGGGGGACAGCCCTCAGGTGGGGGGGACAGCCCTCAGGTGGGGGGGACAGCCCTCAGGTGGGGGGGACAGCCCTCAGGTGGGGGGGACAGCCCTCAGGTGGGGGGGACAGCCCTCAGGTGGGGGGGACAGCCCTCAGGTGGGGGGGACAGCCCTCAGGTGGGGGGGACAGCCCTCAGGTGGGGGGGACAGCCCTCAGGTGGGGGGGACAGCCCTCAGGTGGGGGGGACAGCCCTCAGGTGGGGGGGACAGCCCTCAGGTGGGGGGGACAGCCCTCAGGTGGGGGGGACAGCCCTCAGGTGGGGGGGACAGCCCTCAGGTGGGGGGGACAGCCCTCAGGTGGGGGGGACAGCCCTCAGGTGGGGGGGACAGCCCTCAGGTGGGGGGGACAGCCCTCAGGTGGGGGGGACAGCCCTCAGGTGGGGGGGACAGCCCTCAGGTGGGGGGGACAGCCCTCAGGTGGGGGGGACAGCCCTCAGGTGGGGGGGACAGCCCTCAGGTGGGGGGGACAGCCCTCAGGTGGGGGGGACAGCCCTCAGGTGGGGGGGACAGCCCTCAGGTGGGGGGGACAGCCCTCAGGTGGGGGGGACAGCCCTCAGGTGGGGGGGACAGCCCTCAGGTGGGGGGGACAGCCCTCAGGTGGGGGGGACAGCCCTCAGGTGGGGGGGACAGCCCTCAGGTGGGGGGGACAGCCCTCAGGTGGGGGGGACAGCCCTCAGGTGGGGGGGACAGCCCTCAGGTGGGGGGGACAGCCCTCAGGTGGGGGGGACAGCCCTCAGGTGGGGGGGACAGCCCTCAGGTGGGGGGGACAGCCCTCAGGTGGGGGGGACAGCCCTCAGGTGGGGGGGACAGCCCTCAGGTGGGGGGGACAGCCCTCAGGTGGGGGGGACAGCCCTCAGGTGGGGGGGACAGCCCTCAGGTGGGGGGGACAGCCCTCAGGTGGGGGGGACAGCCCTCAGGTGGGGGGGACAGCCCTCAGGTGGGGGGGACAGCCCTCAGGTGGGGGGGACAGCCCTCAGGTGGGGGGGACAGCCCTCAGGTGGGGGGGACAGCCCTCAGGTGGGGGGGACAGCCCTCAGGTGGGGGGGACAGCCCTCAGGTGGGGGGGACAGCCCTCAGGTGGGGGGGACAGCCCTCAGGTGGGGGGGACAGCCCTCAGGTGGGGGGGACAGCCCTCAGGTGGGGGGGACAGCCCTCAGGTGGGGGGGACAGCCCTCAGGTGGGGGGGACAGCCCTCAGGTGGGGGGGACAGCCCTCAGGTGGGGGGGACAGCCCTCAGGTGGGGGGGACAGCCCTCAGGTGGGGGGGACAGCCCTCAGGTGGGGGGGACAGCCCTCAGGTGGGGGGGACAGCCCTCAGGTGGGGGGGACAGCCCTCAGGTGGGGGGGACAGCCCTCAGGTGGGGGGGACAGCCCTCAGGTGGGGGGGACAGCCCTCAGGTGGGGGGGACAGCCCTCAGGTGGGGGGGACAGCCCTCAGGTGGGGGGGACAGCCCTCAGGTGGGGGGGACAGCCCTCAGGTGGGGGGGACAGCCCTCAGGTGGGGGGGACAGCCCTCAGGTGGGGGGGACAGCCCTCAGGTGGGGGGGACAGCCCTCAGGTGGGGGGGACAGCCCTCAGGTGGGGGGGACAGCCCTCAGGTGGGGGGGACAGCCCTCAGGTGGGGGGGACAGCCCTCAGGTGGGGGGGACAGCCCTCAGGTGGGGGGGACAGCCCTCAGGTGGGGGGGACAGCCCTCAGGTGGGGGGGACAGCCCTCAGGTGGGGGGGACAGCCCTCAGGTGGGGGGGACAGCCCTCAGGTGGGGGGGACAGCCCTCAGGTGGGGGGGACAGCCCTCAGGTGGGGGGGACAGCCCTCAGGTGGGGGGGACAGCCCTCAGGTGGGGGGGACAGCCCTCAGGTGGGGGGGACAGCCCTCAGGTGGGGGGGACAGCCCTCAGGTGGGGGGGACAGCCCTCAGGTGGGGGGGACAGCCCTCAGGTGGGGGGGACAGCCCTCAGGTGGGGGGGACAGCCCTCAGGTGGGGGGGACAGCCCTCAGGTGGGGGGGACAGCCCTCAGGTGGGGGGGACAGCCCTCAGGTGGGGGGGACAGCCCTCAGGTGGGGGGGACAGCCCTCAGGTGGGGGGGACAGCCCTCAGGTGGGGGGGACAGCCCTCAGGTGGGGGGGACAGCCCTCAGGTGGGGGGGACAGCCCTCAGGTGGGGGGGACAGCCCTCAGGTGGGGGGGACAGCCCTCAGGTGGGGGGGACAGCCCTCAGGTGGGGGGGACAGCCCTCAGGTGGGGGGGACAGCCCTCAGGTGGGGGGGACAGCCCTCAGGTGGGGGGGACAGCCCTCAGGTGGGGGGGACAGCCCTCAGGTGGGGGGGACAGCCCTCAGGTGGGGGGGACAGCCCTCAGGTGGGGGGGACAGCCCTCAGGTGGGGGGGACAGCCCTCAGGTGGGGGGGACAGCCCTCAGGTGGGGGGGACAGCCCTCAGGTGGGGGGGACAGCCCTCAGGTGGGGGGGACAGCCCTCAGGTGGGGGGGACAGCCCTCAGGTGGGGGGGACAGCCCTCAGGTGGGGGGGACAGCCCTCAGGTGGGGGGGACAGCCCTCAGGTGGGGGGGACAGCCCTCAGGTGGGGGGGACAGCCCTCAGGTGGGGGGGACAGCCCTCAGGTGGGGGGGACAGCCCTCAGGTGGGGGGGACAGCCCTCAGGTGGGGGGGACAGCCCTCAGGTGGGGGGGACAGCCCTCAGGTGGGGGGGACAGCCCTCAGGTGGGGGGGACAGCCCTCAGGTGGGGGGGACAGCCCTCAGGTGGGGGGGACAGCCCTCAGGTGGGGGGGACAGCCCTCAGGTGGGGGGGACAGCCCTCAGGTGGGGGGGACAGCCCTCAGGTGGGGGGGACAGCCCTCAGGTGGGGGGGACAGCCCTCAGGTGGGGGGGACAGCCCTCAGGTGGGGGGGACAGCCCTCAGGTGGGGGGACAGCCCTCAGGTGGGGGGACAGCGAAGAGGACGTGGGAAGCACAGCGCATCGCGCCAGCGGGGCAGCCCCCTCGTCGGGGCATCTACATCTCGGCTGCACCAAGTTACGGTTCCGACCGCCACCACACGGTTCCGACCGCCACCACACGGTTACTCTTTCCGCAGACCTGAGAGAAACCCATGGCTGTGTGGGGAACGTAAGAGAGGAAGGCAGAAAACCGCATTCCCGGTCAAAGGAGGCCGCGTAGCTACAGCCACCCGGTCGCCAACTCAGTGCCAGGCACCAGGCCCGGAAAGCCTTGAGACCACGGAAGGGCTCTACGTGGGTGACGAGTCTCTCGAAGGGCGCCCAGGCCCCACAGCAGGACCCCCAGCCGCGCCCCTCAAGTCTGCACTGCACCCACCACCTGACTTCCAGCTGGCCTGAGAGGCCACCCCAGGGTGACCCGGGGTGCTCGGACGGGTCGGTCCCTAAACTAAGGACGTGTGCAGACACCATGTCCAGCCTGTCGGCCTGCAGCAGGGGTGAGGACACACCAGGGGAGGCGCTGCCCCGAACCCTCGCCCCGCCGTGTCCGCGCCCCGCCCACCCCTCCTCGCACCCCGACCACCTCTGGGCTGTACCTTGGACTCAGAGATCAGGACCTTCTGAGGCCCTGACGGCTGCCAGATGTCCCACACGCAAAGGACGTATCTGCCGTCCAGCGAGGGCGCGAAGGCCTTCTCGGGTAAATCGTGGACAGAGACCACCATGTGCCTCTGAGCGCGAGAGGCGTGCAGGCAGGACACTCTCCGACCTAGGGTGAGAACGGAGGCGTGTCTGCACTGACAGCTCAGCGAAGAGACAGACGTGATCCTCTCGAAGGCAGGGACAGCGCGGCGTCACGTGCTGGCTGAGGCCCCTTGGGAGGCCAGGCTTGACTCTGGGCCACCCTGAAGAGCCAGGGGTGGTGGTGCACGCCTGGTCCCAGCTGTGAGGAGCGGAGGAGGTGACATGGCAAGGCCCTGTCTACACAGGAGGTGACACAGCAAGGCCCCGTCTACATGGGAGGTGACACGGCAAGGCCCCATCTACACGGGAGGTGACACGGCAAGGCCCTGTCTACACGGGAGCTGACACGGCAAGGCCAGTCTAGGTATGAAAACAAACAGAACCCATACACTTGAGCCCTGCTATTGTGCGTGTGTTTTTCTCACTTCCTGTAGGGCTCCAGAGAGAGACAAGAGGGGAAGTGAGAAATCGCCCCCATGCGGGATGGCCGTTTCATAATCCCTTCTCCTCCATTCTCCTCTTGGCATTTCAGACATACGCACACATGCACCTGGTGTGCTTCTCAGTCACCAGGTCTGGGACTCAAACTGCACAGTCGGACGCAGGGAATCCAGCGCCTGAACCACCAGGCCCTGCCGGCCCAAGACGGGTGCAGTAGCTGTGTCTCTCTGCATGGTAAGGGGAAGGGGTTAAAGGCTCCAGGTGCCGTGAGCGACTGTTTTCTAACAGGGTAATTCTCATGCTTAAAGACAAAGCCTGCTAAGAGCACAGAGGCCGCTGAGCTGACGACACCGCCTTTGCTGACGTAAGCCACTGCGGCGGTCAGGGCAGAAGGCATGTCTGACACACGTGGCACCAACTGCCCCGGCCCCGCACACGGGCCTCCAGGCAGGGTGTCCCCGCCTCCATAGGAGAAGCCGTGGGTCAGCCCGGCCCCACCCTCCTCACACCAGGACCACCGCCTTCAGAAAGCACAGGGGCGGCAGCTGGTCAGCTCTGAACTGGCTCCCACGAGGACAGCCTAACCCGGCCAGACGTTATGTGCAACCACAGGCCACGTTCCACACGTCCTGTGGTCCTGTGCCCCCCGCAGAGTCTCATGTTCGGTACCTGTGGCTGACTTAGAAACCCAAGTGCAAAATGGTACATGTCGGCATCTGGCCACCTGGACCTAAGCCGCTATCCCAGCCCCCACAGCCCATGACCATCCTGACTCCACCCGACTCCCTCTGCTTCATCCAAGCCGCCTCTCGAAAAGCTAACACGACGCGAAAGCCTACTTCAGCGTCAGTGTTGGGTCTAAGGCCTGAGGGCCACACCCGGGCCTGGTCTCACTCTTACTCTGAAGGAAGGGCAGGCTCGTGTTCAGCTGTGAGGAGCTCTCGCTGAAGGGCAGGGTGTGCTCTTGTGCCCTCAGATTCCAGCTGGGCCCAGCTGCCATCCGATCCTCTTCGAGCAAAACTGCAACCACCTTTCAAAGGAACGTGAGACGTCTTTAACAAATGCTGCCCACCATGTCACCGTCACCACTGTCGACCGCTCTAGGGTGCGCCCCCCTTGCCCAGACGGAGGGGAAAGTGAGTGGTCCACTCTGGGGGCACCACGCCAGTCTCTTCTGCTCCACCTGCTGGGATTCTGGGCATGCATGTACACACGTGTGTCTGGTGCATTTCGCAAGTCGCGGGCGCCAGGACTGGAACTGCCCACTTGGCCACGTGAGATCCAGCCTCTGAAACCACCACACCACCAGCTGGGCCCTGTACCATCTTTTTTCTAAAAAACTATCTTTTTCATCATTTCCATTTCTACAAGTAACTGCTTGACGATGGCTGTCATCAACACAAGAGGCCACCATCCTCCCCACGGCAGCACTTACGGCAAAAGCTCCACGAGGGCTGGGTTCACCCTCACTCTGACCCACAGAGCCGGGGCGGCCGAGGCCCAACCCTGCAGCACGGACCGTTGCTCTCAGCACCCTCCCGAAGGCGGTGACTCAGATCAGCGAGCGGAACACGGGGTGGCGGCGAGGCGGAGGCCGTCGCTGCTCCCCACTCCCCTTCACCCCATCTTGCACCCACACACTGCCCTTCCGGGGAAGGGGAAAAGTCTCTAGCCCAGACTTTGATAACAACCAGGCGTCTTGTGGAGAGCCCTGTCTCGTCACCAGGGTTCTCAGCACCCCGCGGGGCAGAACAAAGCCACCCCACCCACTCCACACAGCGCTTGACACAGGCTGAGACCGGCCGGTCCACCACAGCCTCAGGGTCACGTGCTGGCCACGCTCCTCTCCTGGTCTGAGCTTAGGGCATTTGTGAGACACACCAGACACAGACTTCATGCTGGGTGGTTTGCTTTTCTGGAGATTTTTTGCTATAGGACACATGCATGTGCTGAAGAGACAGAGCCAGAGACAGAAAGCGAGAAATCACCCTCAGGGGAAGTGGCCATGCCGCAATCGCTTCTCCTCCATTCTCCTCTCGGGATCTTGGGCACGCACGCGCCTGGTGTGGGCTTCCAGCTCCTTAACCGCACAGTGATGCCATCTGCTGGCCCCACTGCCTGGTGGCACTGAGAGATTTACTAGCCCATATGATGGGGGTACCTGGCAAGCTGCCCGGAGGAAGGCAGACAGCCGGGGCGTGTCGATCTTCGGCACAACGGTGCCATCAGCGCCATCTCTGTTCTCACTACCTAAAAGAGACAGGTCACACAACACTCAGCACCCGGCCGACCCAGTCACTGTTACACGTCTCAGTGTGCATGTGAGTTACAGGTTACAGGTCATCGGTGAGCACAGAGACCTAGGAGGAAAAGCTGCGACTCTATTCTCTAGACCTACTGGTAGATTTTTCCCCAAAACCACAGATTGTTTTATAGACAGTCTGCAAGCCAAATCCTTTCTAAGTTTATTAAAGAAAACAAAATCAACTCCATTACAAAGCATCTCATTTAGGTATGTATTTTCTTAAGGTGACACTCATCCGAGGGAGGGGAGAAATGTAATTCCTGCGGACAGAGAGCACTTCTCAAGGAAAACACTGACCAGAGACGGAGTCAGGGTGCTAGCGGCTGCAGGGCCGGGGCTGAGGGGCAGATCCCAGCTGCACGACAGCGTGGGAGTTAAGGTCACCAGAGCGGACTGTGCCCCATGAGCGGCAGGGCGCCCCCAGGCCCAACAGTGAGGCCTCCCCAGCATGTTCAGGGATGAAATGTTAGTGCCCTGGCCAGGCCCACAGTTCAGCAGAGCTGGCCTCGGTGGCAAGAGCTCATTTGCTCCTTTAAGAGCTTGGGGTCTCCGAGAACACTAACAGTCACACCCAAGAGAAGGGCATGAAGAGAGAGAGCAAGAAAGGCAGCGAGGAAAGCCGGAGCAGCCAGGGTGGGCGGGCAGGCGTCCAGTGACGTACCTCCAGACACAAGGGCACCCTCCCCTGGGTGCTGCGTCCACACATGCCTGGTCTCCGTGTCCTCGGTCTGAGTGTCTCGTTCCACACTGTCCTCGTTACACTGGACGTAGGCCTTGAAGACAAAGGGACGTTGGGAACCAGCAGTTAGTGTAACGGCTATGTCGCTGGACTCCCACATAGTCGACCGTGGTTTGCGTCCCGGACCCAGTGGCTTAAAACTCTCACAGGGAGTTTGTGCGTGCGTGCCCAAGATCCCGAGAGGAGAATGGAGAAGGAATCGCTGTGTGGCCATCCCCCCTGGGGGTGATTTCTCACTTTCTGTCTCTCTCTTTCTGGCGAGCACACGTACCCTATAGCAAAAACCTCTCAAAAAAATTTTAAAAAGTATAATAGGATAATCACGTAAAGACTCCCAGGTTTTAGACGTCTGGTAGAAAAGGGCCTAATCAAACAACTTCGATCATTCTAAAGATATCAACGGCACCACTGAGCCTAGTGCGCCCTGCTGTCTTAGGGACGCTGGCTTAGGGTGTTCTTTCCGTGGGTTGTGCATGTCCGCCAGAGAGCCCTCAAGCAGGCCGTGGCCTTGACACAGCCCCTCTTCCAGTTCCCAGTCCGTCGGGGTTTGGGCATGCCTGCACATGCATTTAGCTCATTCCGAAAGTCGCTGGTGCCGGACGTGAACCGCGTCGGTCACGTGGGACCTGGCCCCTTCTCCCGTGCTACCAGGTGCCCAAACCTGCTTCTCATTTCAGAGGGGCACATGGTCCACAAAGAGGGCCTGTTACCGACAGCAGACAGTAACCATCATAACCTGGGCAAGGCCGCTGGGCCCTGGCGACAGGGGGACTGCCCGGCCCCGCTGTGACCCCCTAGAGAACAGGACCAGCTATCAGGAGCACCGCGGAGGGGCACAGGAAACGTGAGCTGTGGTGCCCCGCCTGGAGCAGATCAGGGAAGCACCGCCCAGTGCGGGATGAGCGGGGCAGCTCTGGGGTCAGGGGAGGACGCAGTGTGGGCCATCAGGAGGGGCCCACCCCCGGACCGGCCATGGACGCTGAGCAACAGACAGGAAGGAAAGCCAAGGGCGAGACGGCACGGCAGCAATGGGCCGACGGCGCCGTGAAACAACGCGACCTCCGGAGGGGCCGAGGGCCGCCTGCCACGAGTGCAGAGCCTCCCTGAGGACGCCGGTGTGGACGGCCCAGGACGGCGCTGGCTGGGGGTGATCGCGGCATGGAGGCCTGTTGGGGCTGCCCCGCAGCATGGTGGTGAGGTCGTGCAGAGGAAGCGGGTCCTGGCTGGGGGTGACCGCGGCACGGTGGTGAGGCTGTGCAGAGGAGGCGGACCTCACTCGGCCGACCAGGTTCAAGGCCCAACCCCAGCAGCGTGAAACACACTGGCATTGGCGGGGACTTACCCAGACCTGATGGGACGGGGAACCAGAGAAAAGAGGCTGTGGCATGGCCAGGACCCCGAGTGTCCCTGCTCCCTCCTTCCCCCGGCCTGCGCCCCCTCCGTCATGAGAGAGGCTGTCAGGGCTGGCTCCAGGGCGCCTGCAGCGTACCGCTCAAGCCGGGAACACACTGGGCACACGCGAGTGCCCGAGGTCTGACGGGCTTGGAGACTGGATGTGACCGGGCCACGGAGGGCGCTCCTGTCTCTCTGTCTCTGTCTCTGAAGCACATGCTCTACCGTGCATTACGAGAAAGACCTTGTCAGGGCGCTGCTCGCCATCTCTCTGGAATAAATACGCTGTGAAGCCGAGAGCCCAGGAAGGTCAGAGCAGCCGCTGAGCTGGCCAGACGGGAAGGGTGACACCCTGGTGTGGCGGCCGCATCTTGCCCAGCTCCCGCAGGCTTCGGAGCACCGTCGGGCCTTCGCTTGCACCTGCTCTCGGTCGGCAGGTGCCGTGCCGGAGGGAACCCCTTCCTGGAGCCTGCTCCCTCCCAGACGGCCCCGGCCCTGCCCTGTCCCGTGCTGTCCCGTGCCAGCGCAGCTCACTGACCTGCTGGGTGTTCTTTTTCCCAAAGTTCCTGATGTACGTGCCGTACTCGCTCACCGGGGGCAGGTCCACGAGAGACACCGTGCACGAGAAGTCGAGGTCGATGAGCCGGAGCAGCTCCGTGCTCCGTGTCCTTCAAGACACGTTGGAACAAGATGTGAGGAGGGGGTTCAGCCCAGGCCGGTTACCGTCGAGGGCCGCCCAACACCTGGGTATGAGTCAGATCTGGGGAGTCATCAGAATAACCAAGCATGAGCCCTGCAGGGGCCAAGGAGCGACTCAGGGCAGCGTGTCGAGGCGACCAGCGAAGTCAGACCTGTGCCTGGCCTTCCCGAGTGCTGCATCTCAGCATCACCCACCCTTCTCCTCCAGCTCCAGCAGACCTGCCCCCATGTCCCTGCCTGGCCTACGGCAGCAGCCGTGTGGCTCCTGACTCCCGACGCTGCAGCTCGCCATCCCTGTGGCCTCTCCTCCCCAGGCCCCATGCCAGCACGTGCCTAGAGTCCCGGCTTGCATCGCGGCCTGACGTGTGACACCCACTGCACAGCTCAGCAGGGCAGGGACGCGCCTTCCCTCGAGAGCTGGTGCCCAGCATGCACAGCGAGGGAACGTGCGTCTTCTGTGGGACTGACAGAGCGTCCTCACCCGTCTCCTGCTCCTGCCCTCCTCACCCTGTGCCCCAGTGTGGTCTGGTGCCTGCGGCTGACAGCAAGTGTCAGTGTGTGGGTGTGCGTCCTCTGACCCCTCCTTCCTGCCCTTGCTCCTCTGTTTTGTTACACACCTGTGTACCTGAGAGAGCACCCCTGTCCACGAGAGAGAGAGCACCCCTGTCCACGAGAGAGAGAGCACCCCTGTCCACGAGAGAGAGAGAGCACCCCTGTCCACGAGAGAGAGAGAGAGCACCCCTGTCCACGAGAGAGCACCCCTGTCCACGAGAGAAAGAGCACCCCTGTCCACGAGAGAGAGAGCACCCCTGTCCACGAGAGAGAGCACCCCTGTACACGAGAGAGCACCCCTGTACACAAGAGAGAGCACCCCTGTCCACGAGAGAGAGAGCACCCCTATCCACGAGAGAGAGAGACCACCTGCAAGTACACAAGAGAGAGCACCCCTGTACACGAGAGAGAGAGAGAGAGCAACCCTGTCCACTAGAGAGCACCCCTGTCCACGAGAGAGCATCCATGTACACAAGAGAGCATCCATGTACACAAGACAGAGGACACCCGTGCACACGAGGGGCAGACCCGCAGAGCCGCCCTCTTCTCCCCCCTCCCCAGCTTGTGAGCCCCGGGCACGTGCACGCGCAGCAGAGGCCGGGACTGAGCCCTGGCCGGCCCTGTGGGACCCAGCCGTTCGTGTGGGCTGCCCTGTGGTTGCGCAGAGCTCGGCCCAGTCTCCACTATGCTTGACCCTTGGCATCTGCATTAAAGTGTCACCATTTTACTTTTTTTCACATTTTAAAATTTCATTTTCTTTTATACATTCAAGCACATTATTTAGCTTACAAAATAGATATTTCAACATGTGAACATTCCTCCCTAGTCCAGTCGATAAAACTATAAAATCTCTTCAACAGACCACGCCATGTTTCTTTGTGCCATTAATCCTTAGCCTCCCTATTCTTCTTCTCGATGTCCTTCCTCAGACCCTCCTCCTTCACACACACTGTATCTGGTATTCACATCTATATATTGTGTTGCTATACCCTTTAGTCAATCAGTGTCAGTCACAGGGTCGGACACTCGGTGTATGTTAAGTGGGGACATACAATGCCTCTCCTTCTTAGTCACCATTTTAAACGCACCGTCTCACACCCTGCTGAGGTTTCCATTGGGGTAACCGAGTCTGTCGTGAGATGGTCTGATGGTCTTCAAAAGCTCATAGAACTCATCAGGTTTTGAACCTCCTCAGTTTTTGTGTTTGTTTTCTAAAAAAAGAAACTGGGGGCCAGCAGGTGGCATGGTGGAAAGGTGCTGGACTTCCACGTGGCCGACCACAGTTCGAGTCTCAGACCTGGTAGCTTTCTTCCTCACTTTCCCTCCCTCTCTTGCTTTGTCCCTCTCTGGTCAAATGAAAGAAAGAAAAAAAGAGAGACAGACAGATAAAGAGATAAAGAGAGAGACAGAGAGAATCAACGAAAAAGAAACAGAGACAGAGAAAGAAAAAGAGAGACAGAAAGAGAGAAAGAGACAGAGAAGAAGACAGAGAGAGAGAGAGAAAGGAAGAAAGAGAGAGAAGGAGGGGGAAAGTAAGTAAAATAATTCTTAAAGAAAAAGAAAAAGAGAAAGCAAAAGAAAAAACAAAAACAAAAACAAAAAGAGAAACCCGTCCGTTTCTGAAACCCCAGACGCGCCTTCTGCACTGCCTGGCCTGCCCCTGCGCCTGGGCCAGTTCCCCGTGTGTGGAAGCCTGTCAGGCCTCGCCCCTTGCAGTCTCTCTGGTCTCTCCCAACCTTCATGTCTGTTTCACTGTGGCTATTTCCTCCTTATTAATTTTTTAATTTTTGCCATGTATGCGTGCTCATTGGAGAGAGGAAGGAGGGGGAGAGAGACAAAGTGAGAAATCACCCCACGGGGACAGCATCACTGCAATCCCTTCTCCATTCTTCTCTTGAGATTTTGGGCACACACAGGCACACACGCATGCATGCATACACACACAGACCCACATGCTCTTCACGCTGCCAGACAGCCACGTGGGACCCCACGCCCTCAGCACTGTGCCACCAGCTGCCTGGCGTGAAGAGCCTCCACTGCCCTCCCGTCTAGGCACGGCCATCCCATGGAGCACATCTCCTGAGCACAGCCCCTGGGGTGTAGCTGACAAGCATCAACGTGCCACCCTTTTCCTCATCTGAGGGCAGGAGTGACAGTGTCCAGCTCAAAGCACTGCACAGGGCTGAGTGTGAGCAGCCGCTCAGCTGGTCACGGCGCCTGGCCATCTCGGGCTGCCCACGTGAGCACCTGACTGCACTTCTGCATCTGCCAAAGGCCAGGGACTCTCGGGAATACAGCCCCGTCAGCAGGTCAGCGGGCGCCCAGGGCCAGCCCTGGAGTGGCAGGGGGGGGCTAACGCTGCGAACATGGACATGGACACGGGGCACACGCTGACGCCACGAACACGGACACGGGGCACATGCTGACGCCGCGAACACGGACACGGGGCACACGCTGACGCAACATCCAAAGTTCAGTAAGTGGAACAAACTGTTTTCTGAGAGTTTATT